GAGTTAGCTGATTTCTTGTGCAAATGTAACTTTTTTTGGCTTGCATTCTGTCTCTGGCAATTTTGGAAGCTGTTCTACTTTTGACACTTGTATATGTATAAATAGTCCTGACTTCCAAATTTTTCAATGCTTGGCACGTTTCCCCGATTCATTCGGATTCCTGCCTTGGTTTCTTCTCCAACCTTTTGTTCTCTAGACGGGAATAACTAAGAAGCGTCTTCAGGTGTTATATGGATAGAATGTTTTTAATGATTTTAATTATCAGAGTAGACCTTAAATTCTGCTTTATCGATCTATATTATATCATGTACGGATTCTTTTTCCAGATGGATTGTGCTTTAATATTTGCCTTCATCTTTATATTCCATTAGGGTCTTGCAAACCTTTTTTGTTCGGCGCCGGGTCTCATATTGAATGGGCTCTCATTTCATGTGTGTCCTATAGTAGTTTTAAAATCGTATTTCCAATATGAAAACTTTATTGTGACATCGACTCGTTATTATAAAACCTAATGCTGCTCCCTAGACTTGTCAGCACAATTCTTCATATTTGGGAAGTGGGGAGGAGAGGGAATGTTTGAAGTGTTTCGTCAGGTTGGCCACTGGTTATACAATGTTCCCTAGGTTGACTTGTTTGTTATCTGAATGTGGCATTCTGCATAGCGTCTGGACTGCGTGTTAGGATCTTGATGGCATGTGGTACTCAAATGCCTGCCTGCAACTTTGTGATTGAGGTAATACAGTTTTATTGATGAGCGCCTGTGCACCAACTTAATGCTCTGACAGTTGATAACGATTTATTGATGATAGTCATGGTCTGCTGATGTTGTAGACCGGATGACTGTATATGGATGAGTTGGAATCAAAAAGCTGGCTTATCCAAGGAATCCTACACTGCCCAGAATAGGTTGTTTAGCTAAATCAGACTTAGAATGAGATACTGGGTCCTATTGATTTTTCCCACTTGGCAGCTGCGTTAGACTTGGTGGTAGATTTGATTCTTCCTATCGTTGTGGCAACTTTGATGTCGAACTGATATTCGGCTTGTGGATCAAGCATTTTGATGGATCATTGTGGATATTTGATTGGGTTGTTTCTTCGTAAATTTGCAGATCCCGCTCGAGATCCAGATCTCCAAATTCATCTGTAAGTGTCATGTAACTTGCGTGGCCTATTATTTAGAGGGGACGAAAGGAACGAAAATACATGATTGTCCAATTTTCTTTTAAATATCATCTAACTTGTGTGAGCTGATATTATTTAGAGGGGGACGAAAAGAACAAAAATATATGATTGTTTAATTCTTCTTAAAATGTCATCTAACTTGCGTGGCCTGGTATTATTTAGAGGCAGACAAAAGGAACGAAAATACATGATTGTCTAATTTTCTCTTTTGACATTTGCTTTTGCCTTTTGCATTTTGTTTGCCATACAAGAACTAACTAGAAAATAGGACTATGAAATGGGAGCCAAAAGAGGGTTTGAACACAAATGGTATTTAATGTGAGAATTAAATTTATTCCGTAACATGAGTGTAAGGTACTTTTCTTTGTGTAATAAGCAGCCTTCACCTTATAGAAGTTACAGTCCTCGCCGTAAAAGCTTGTCGCAATCCCGTTCGTCTTCGGTATGTTCAATATCCTTAAAGCTTATTTCTGGAGTTGATTATGAATTTTTTATCTCAGAAGTAGTATTTTGAGGACGTCGCGGATGATTTATTGGCAGGTGAAGTCTGATCGCAGCAGATCTGCTGACTCTGGATATCGCTATTGAGAGATGAGGTCTTTTTGGCTGGAACTGTCTTAGATATTTTATGTGAAGCTTTAGGATTCGTATGCAGCTTGCTTTTATGTTGGTTTTGAGTTCTAAATAAAGGGCCAGATGGTGCATTTGATTTGCCAACAAAACAAAATTTATATGAATTATAACTAGATTATCAAGATGATTGCAATGAACTCTTTCCTGGTTCTTGCTAACTCGTTTGGGATGCTAATGATGGTTGGGGTGTTATATTCTCTATGCCCTATGTCCTTGGTTAGTCTTGATCGTTAGAGATCTCTGTCATTTCATAATTAGTTTTGCTTGATGTCATTAGATTATGCCACCACGTCCCCAAGCAAGGAAAATATTTTGGCTTATAACTTTCATTTCTTTATTACGACAATTTTAATAATCTAAAGTGTATGCTTTATGATTTTTAACCTAGCTCTTTTAATGATTTATTACAATAAAGGTACGCCATTTATAACTTAACATTCGACTTAATAAGAGGACGCTTTTTATAACTTAACATCTTCAACTTAATAAGGAGGTCATAAGTTCTGCGTGGCTGCAAGGGGGAAAAAAGAAAAGAGAATAAAGGCAAACGTCTTCATGAATGTGGCAATGAAATTGAATCTTATGTTACGGTATGGAATTTTCTTTGAAAATTACTTAAAGAATTAAATTATAATGTCAAAATTTATTATCAGCGTAACTGTTTCCACTGCAAAAATTATCAGCACCAGAAACATTGTAGCTTATATTACAAAATTAAAGACTGTTAAATACTGTTAATTTAAATCACAAGGCATTGCGCCAAGACGCGGGGTCTATAGAGAGACGGGGCAATTCCAGCTAAGATCAGCTTTCCTAAGACTGCAACCGACCCTATCTATCTCCGTTACAATCGTTACTAACCCATTTTAGTTGCCTACCGGTGTGATGACGACGATGACTATAATTTGTGACGAGCTATAATTCATACCAAAAAAATACGAAGACTATATTTTTCAATCCAAAGATTAAATTCTTTTAACCCAACATAGAACTTGAACATCACTCATGCATGCAATTCACATACAATGGGCCAGCTCTTGCACAACCGTCAACAATCACCCTCACCACGATATGCAGGTAAAGATCCAGTACGTAAATTCTGAATACACAGCATTTGCACGAACGTCAGGTATAAAATCCAGCAGCGGCTCCGCCTCGTCCGCTCAACGTAACGAGTCGTCTCAATGCCCCAAACTCCCAAATACCCAATTTCTCCAATTAGACAACATCTTATTTTATGCCCCCAGAGGAGAAGAAAGTAGAGCAAGATAATGTCCATCAATCACACTGCCACCTGTCTGCCAGGTGAATTCCAGGGCCAGCCGGAGTTGTAGCCTGCCATGACATGACAGACCTAAAGGCCAAAGCATTACTTAAACATTTCTCAAGCATATATAAAATTTTGATATTTCCCTACTAGTGGGAAGTTTTCTTCGCAGGGAAACAAGCATGTCACCGATTTTGCGAGGGCATTCTCTCTGAACCGTGCCTTAATCGAAATCCTAATGGTCTCATGCTTGGGTCTGACCCACCAAGGGGTTGGTGGTACGCTACCCAACCGGAATCTCTATCAACGTGGTTTGACGACAAGGAAGGCAAGGGATCTCTTTCCCATGCATGGAAGCGACTTGGTAGGTGGTTTTCTTCTTGAAAATTGCGTCCTGATGAACCTGTGGACAAGAAAGAAGCCGCCACCTTGGTCTGGTGATGAGGCCACCGGTGCTAACTGTGCTGATCCTCTATGACTGCTAGATCTTCGGGTTCCAGAAGACATAGGCGTCCTCATAACTGAATTAGTTGGTTGATGCTGTTGATAGTACGCCTGAAGAGCTTGGACTCTATCACGTGCCCGAGCATTGCTGCCTGGATAAGGAGGGATCATTGAGGAAGCAGCTGAGCTTCCCTCTCGCAGCAGCGCTGCAGAAATTTACATGCATCAGACGTCAATTGCCCTAGGATTTTTTTCTCTCCTTTTTTTTGGGGGGGGGGGGGGGTTAATGATTATGCACCAACATCTCAAATCACATTGGAGCAGTTCGATCATTCGTAAAACAATCCTTCCTTTCTAATCACAAAAGGTGTACCTGTGCCCAACAAGAAAGGATGCATAAAAGATCCTGATCTGGGTACATCCAAACCACCCCTGGCTGGCCTTTGGCTGGCAGGTGATATCGAAGGCTGATCAGCAGCAGCTAGACGACTGCTGGCAGTAGAGAAAGGCCCAGAATGGTGTTCCCAACTGTGATAATGGAGATCCACACGGCAGGAAAAGTGTAGGAAGCTGGCATGTCATTAGGCAAGATGGGCCATTCCAGGGGTTGGTAAAGTTAGAAGCTTCTGAAACCGTTCCAGCAGAGTTTGACGAAGATGGATGTATTGGTCCAATATACGCGATATATGGACAATGATGATTAGCAGATGCTGTATGTTCAGCAAATATAGCATGTTGTCCCACTATGTCATGATCTGCATCCCACCATTCCAGTCAACATAGCATATTCAGTCAAATGCAAGCTTCAACTACAACAAAAAGGAGATGCTGATACCCAGGGAAAAGAATCTTACATGCAGTTGATGAAAATTCCCCTTCCCTGGAAAAAGGAACACAACATTAAAGAGTTGACAAGCAGCACATCATTTCCCAGAAACAAGGATTATAGTGCTTTATTTTATTTTATTTCTTTTTAAGGAACACAAGGAGGAGTATCTGTAAAACTGAGAGCCAAAAAAGGGACAATGCAAAGGGTCATCATTTTTTATACAACTCCACAGAATGTAGATCAAAATCTAATAATTGCAAAGCTACTACAGAACACTGCCAAATATAACCAGAAGTCCAGAACTGATTCTTCCATATCAGTGAGCCGTGTAATTTATGCATCTTTGAAAGGACGAGAGAACAAGTTAAACTTTTTCCTCTATTAAAATCTCAAGAGAAAAATGCTTTATGAAGCTTCTAAGGAACCACCTTTTCTATTTCTGTCAATGCTGTGATGGCTTCAAAATCATGATTCGGTATTGTTAAAAAAATAGTCGGATAAACAACACCAAAAAGAGGAATGAGCACAGTGAAGAACAACCCCCCCCCCCCAAAAAAAAGGAAAAGAAATGCACACCAAAATAAAAAACACAGAGAAAAAGGCAGCACGGGCAATCACCCCAAAAATCAATCACAAAACAGATCTTAGTCGGCAGACTTACTCAAAAGATGGAGGAAGTCGGGCCAAGCTCCCAAATGGACACCAATGAACCCCGAAAGACTGTTGGGGAAAAAAAACAATAGAAGTCAACATGATTAGCAGAAGATAGCTCACACACATACAGGCAAACCCTACCATTTCAACAACTCGTACTCATTTTTTTTCTTTTCTTTTTTGGGGACCGGGCGGGGGGGGGGGGGATGTGGTGTAACCATTTGACAGTGCCACGAGAACATACATACGTTCTCTTTAGACAAACAATTTTTGAAAGAACTCAACATCAGTTTACAAGTCAGAAGCCGTCAAGGTGTAATCCGTACTGGTGAGGTTGTTATAAGACAAATGAAGATGCATTTGTAGACAGAGATGAGAGAAACCAACAAAGATTGCTCAACAGAGAAAACTTTGCTAGCAATTAGAAGGGCCGTATTTTTATCAGCTTCCAGAAGAGTAGGCATATGGGAAAAATTTACAATATACAACAAGAAAAACAAATTCATATATGTAATGATATTTTCATAACAACACATAGCAAACACATGCCATTAGCATGATTCACCAAAAAAGGAACTAGAAGAAATAATAATGTTGGTAAAGTTTCTTTTGTAAGCATAAAATATAACAGGAGAAGAATAGTAACAATAACATCATTAAGAATCAATGATTAACATGATAGAGACCGATACCATTTCAGAGTAGCTAAGATCATAAAGATCCTCATCATGCGCCCAATCATCCATGCTTAATTCTGGGTAAGACTGAGAGCCATTAGCATAAAGCCACTGGCCTTTCTCAATCTTCCGACAATTGGGACATTGCATTGCCCCTTTTATATTGAATGCTGAACCAATGCAATCTGAACAGTTCAAAGCATATAAACATTAGCATAAGAATATGTTGCGGGTATTATCATGTCAGGAATTTAATTCTAAGAAATCACATGCAATCATGCGATATCACAGTGCTTCAATGCTTTCTAACAGTTTATAATGAACTCTTATAAATGTCCCCATTAAAGCAGCATACGAGTTAATACATAAATGAAAAATTGAAACATATATCTCATGGAGAAGAACTTACAGTTTAACTAAATTCGTTTGATATTTATGTGGGAGCTATAAATGTTTTAATCATATTTGTTGTAAGGCTCATATATGGTTCAGAATATTACCAAGATTTTCACCTTTAGACCACTGGATGGAGCTACTTTTTCGATAGTTATTTTATTGTTAGGTTTTCTTTAACTTGTTTGGAAGTTGAATTAGGCTCTAGCTCATCTTCTCTAGGTTTATATCAGTTTCAATTATTATTTTTTATTATTTATATCTAAAGCTCTATAAATAGCCACTACTCTACCTTCCATTCTTCTCTTATCCTCCCCTCCTCCTCCTTCCCCCCTTGTCCTATACCATTTGCTAAGATGGAAATTGAAAACCAATGTTAAGCCTAGCAGAGATTAGGGTTTTATTAAATTTATTTTTATGTTTTTGTAACTACATAGGCCCGTTTGGAAATCTTTAAGCAGCTTTTTACTCGTAATTTGCAGAATATGAGATAAGTATGTGAGAATAATTTTATCTCGACTTACGTGAAACGTGCTTATCAGTGATTTCAATCGTGATGACAAACAACCTATATTGTTAGGTTTTCTTTAATTTATTATGAATTAGGCTTTATTATTTTTTATTTAAATCAAGGGCTCTATAAATAGCCCTATGATTTCTCATTTGAATTATTATTATTTTATTATTTTGTTGTCACCCTCTCCTCCAATTCCTTTGATCTTCCCTCCACTCTTCTCTTAGAATCTGTTTGGCA